GAATAGAAGCATGATACGTACGCTCCCATTCGATTTACTAATCCAGGCCAATAAGGCGGCGTATGTGGTACGTTTGCTTGCGTGCTGATTAATCTTGCATTTCAGAAGTAGAAGTTGTTTGAACTCCCCGGTGTGGATGCGCTTGAAGTGAATGTTGACAAGGTGCCTACCTGTCTATTACCCACTACCTCGTCCATACTGGCTTCAGGAGACAGTTGGTCGTCGCTGGAGGGGACGGAGTGCATTGTCCTCGTGACGGTGCTAGACTTAAAGAGCGGTTCCATGCACTCAGTTTGGAGCGGACTACGGTCCAGCCACCGCCTTGTGTGCGCTTGATTCTCCAAACACAGCGTGCTTGTGTTCGCCTGTGAAGGAGTGTGGGCCTGCTCGGTTGATGAAACGTGGCTCCCATCCACATGCCTCCCGGTCTTATTCCTTCGGGTTTACACTGGATGATATGGGGTGTGGTTTGGAGCTGTGGGTGGTGCAGCGCAAACCACCCATGGTCCGTCTGTAGGCGCAGGCGTCCTGTGGCTGGGCACAATGACAGGCAAATCTGAAACCGGTTGCCGCCAACCAAATGGTAAGTCTATGCAACATACATCGAGTTATCCAAAATCATGGAATAAATATGCATAGTAAATACAAAGGTCAAAAATGGAAGTAATAAAGAAAAATTTTTTGAAAGCGCCGTTTTGTTAGCTTAGTGATTACGGTTTTGATCAATAGAATCAATGCAGACTCATGCAAGCCGCGGTTACGCGATGTGTCATCAAGAAGCTCCAACCAGCAATGTTTTCATCTCTCAGTTCCCAGTCTGGAAGACGTAGACCAGCAACAGCGAGACTGGAAGTCAACGCCTTGACGTTTTGCCGCCATGCGGTAGGCTGACTACCAAGATTTCTTCCCGTGCGGCCCTGCGTGAGCGGATAGAGCGCGCCGCGGAAAATGTTCGCAAAGCATGCGTAGGACGCGACTTAGCTACCTCAGTTGGCGCAGCGATATTAGTTTGCCGAGAGGGAGGCCATATTACCCGAGACGCGACGTCTAGCATCGTCATTGCAAACATGGTGTTGCCACCACATACAAGCTGTTCTCAACAGACAACCGTTGTAAAAGGCCGAAATCCGGCGCAAATCATTCACACGGGTCGGCCAGGACTCGCTTTCATACAACAGGACCGTGCGAGCACAGACACTGTGGACCATATTCTTTACCGAAAGTGAGAAGTCACCCGGGCGCCACAAACGATTCAGACCAGTGAAAGCCGATCGGGCTTAGGCAATACAGAGAGAAATCTGTACCGATCGTGCCATCAGAAAAATCCCAGCTTCCAAAGTAGATGAAGCTATCCATTTGTTTAAGCTGCGTACCTACAAGAATCAGCATGGGGGCAGGCGGACGCCAATCCTGTAGGACCTTACATTATGATGCAGTAAAGGTCATGCCATACTTAGAAGCTTCAAGCAACAAGAGATTTATAACGACTTACATGATCTGAGTCGTCACAGAACAAGACAATATCAGCATAGTCCAAGTCAGCTACGCGGGTGCCTGTAAGAAGCTTTAGGCCAGAAACCTGCGGATCTTCCATTGCGCTTAACAGGACAACAATCGCAAAGCTGGTAAGAAACGCGGACATAAGGCATCCCTGTCGAACACCGCTAGTGATGGCGAAAGGTGAATAGAGCCTACCGTAATCCCTCACTCTGCCAGACATTGTTGTATAAAGCTCCAAGTATGGCAGTAAACTTTTCGGGCAACCCCATTACTTTGCAGACGTCATAGAACAGGCCGGTCGGTCGAGTCGAACGCAGCTCGGATGTCCAAAAAGTCGACCATGGTAGGATGGCGATAGAGGTGGCGCTACTCGGAGTTGGCGGAGCGTAAAGATGACCAATACACCCTCGACCGGGTCGAAAACCAGCATGTTGCTCATGAGAGTGTAGCTCTCGAATCGATGTTAACCTGTGCAGTAGAATGTATGTTAGAAACCTGAATGCGAGGGATATTAATTATTTCTTTCTGGTTATTGCAAAGTACGAGCACTCTGTGAAGATGGGTATGATTACCGATGCAAACCAAGAGGACAAAACATTTTCTATACACCAGATAATGGAAAACAGCCGTTAACTGGTTGACAAATGCCTCGCCACCGTGCTTGAAACGCTTCGGAGGAGGTCCGTTTAAGCCAGCAGCTTTGAATCGCTTCAAATGACGAAGCTCAGGACAGACCACCTCGGTGGGTGGTTCCAGTGAAACGTTGCAATGCGCGCAAGTTGGTCTGCTTATTAGATGGACAGAAGGGGGAAAGTAAATGAATTGTGAATGGAAGTGCTCAGCCTAGCGGTCCATGCGCTTACGTAGCAAACAGCTTCACTGACGCTAGGTCTTCTGCGGCCAGTGGTCCAAATGATTTGGAAAAGCTTGCGAAATTTTTAGAGACACTGTCTCCATCTCCGAAACGCGCTGAGACCAAGTTTTGCTATCGTTGCGTAGGCTTTGCTTGAGTTATTTGGTGGGGTTGCGGTGGACTTCATTCCAGCTTGAATCTGCTTGGATAGCTCGGTGACGGTCAAACAATTCCAAAGAGCGAGTAGATCCAGCCTCCTATAGAACACCCAGCAATTCCACAGTATGACTGACCAGAAGAAAACAACGCCTGTAAGAAATGCCGGTAATGTTCGGCATCTGTAGATGTAGCATTAACGAGCGCATCTGATAAGGGGGATTGATAGGCCAGTTAAATGGAAGGGTTGGCTAGGCTGTTGGTATCTAGTGTAAGGTGCCTTGGTTTCGTGGAGACACCAACGCGTATGCAGATGTCCGCACAGAACAGAGCGTGATCCGAATCGAGGTAGGTTGGTCAAATGGATCTGCAACCCCGTATGCTGCACGGCTACCTGAAGCTGATTGAAATTTGCGACCACAATTGTGTTGGCGAAGGGGAACACCAAGTAGCGGCGTGTCTCCTCGAGGGTAGGAAGTCCGTGCTGGCGAGGAAGAACCGGCTATCATCACAACGTTAGAAGCCTGTCCGTTATCAGAACGACTCTCATTAAGATGACGACCATCAAGATAATATCCGCATTGTAATAGGCACCCGAGCCATACAGTGAAGTTAGGTAAGGACGACTGCAAAGGATTATTCGGTTTTAGTTAAGTCGGTGGAGTCCGCGAGAAAAGTCGTCAAAAGCGATGCACGACTGCAGTCGATTGGAGCGTAGGCTGAAACCACAAACAAACTGCGTCTCGGTATATGCATCAGCAGTGCGCAGGTACGTAGTATCGACGCTTCGCTGCCGCGCAACCACCAACGGTCGCACGTGGGTTAAGAATACCGCGAGGGTCGTCCGGCCCCTACTCAGGATCAAACCCGCGCCCTCAGATTATAAGACAGGATTGTGATCTTTAAATCTACGATTATTAGTGGTCCTACGTGAGTACTGGAGTCGAACTGCACACAAGCAGCTGTCAATCGAGAATCTATCGAGCAGCGAAGCCTCAACTTTGTCCTTCAATGCGATGACAAGACCAGCCAAACCAGCTGCAGCAGCCTGTGTCACCAGACAAATGCAGAGAATATTTGGCTCCGAGTTCAGCTGACGTCAACCTTACTACAGTGTTGGAGTCCTGTAACCGAGTCTTAGGAAGACTACAGGTACCAACAGCAAGAAATCCAGGGTGTGCCGGCTTGGTCTAATCTGTTGAAAGCTGCCAGCCGAAATGGAGATCGAGGTCGGATGGAGATCACTGGTCGAATCTTTGGCTATGGAAGACTACTGAAAGTGGTGGATTCAAATGAATAATTGACGAAGGTAGGTTTGCCGTGTGATGGAGGATCGTAAGCAGTGAGCGCAGGAGAGGAAGAATACGACATAATAGCAGCAGTTGCTGGACCCATGGTTCTGTCAGGGGGCGAGATAGTACCGTTGCTCAAGCCGAGGTAGGGAGTTGTCTTAGGCTGAATAGCCTACTAGCAAGGCATCGGAGCGGGTTAAGGGAATCGGGCTCATTGGGAGCCGAGTACACAGTTTAGACCTCCTTCGTTTGGACGCTTATCAAACGTGCTCAATGCTCCCCACAGTTTCAGAACCAGATTGCTGGAATACAATGCTCCACCGGAGTGAAGCATGAGGCAGTGACTAGTTAATGGCGAGTCACAACCGCCACGCGGCAGTGTTGTCGAACAGACAGTTGTGGCTTTCTATGGGGAGAACGCTTGCCAGCGAAAAACCCACCACCTAGAATACTGTCCCGGAACTATTGGCAGGAGCAGGGTAATCCCGGACCAAGCTGGCATTACGAAGTAGTGCAGCTGACTACCTAGTATCTTCCAGCCAAGCCCCGCACAAGCGAAAAGGAGACACAGAAGCAATCGCCCAGCCGACATACGCAGGATATGACCGAGCCGCTTAAATGACCTAGCTTGTAGGGAATATTCACGTTCCCTAAGAGGAATTTAACTAAATAACAACACCAAAGAATTGGATGAAATTGCAAAAAAAGAGAAATTGAAAGGTACAATTCGGTATGTAGAAATGAAAGGCTTAGTTGTACCACCCGACAGCACCAACATGACGCTGAAAATCCATAACTGCAGTCTCCTTTACCATATTTGCTACTTCATGCTTACTTCATGTAATCGGCACGGCAGGGACTGTTGGCCAGGGCATTTAAGAGTAACTGGTTGACCAGTGTGATGCAGTTGTGGTTTTAGGTTTGTTAAAATCGCCAATCATCCTAGAAATTCCTCGTTTACAGTGTTATTCTATGGTTCTAGTTCCAAATGAACTTATCTTCTAGAAGCGAGTTCCAGTGCGCTATAGCTAGCCGTAGCAAGTGTCGCCGGCCACACTGAGGCGGATGGTTTAACCCCTGGATGTCACCGTGATTATACAACTAAGGGAAACGAAATGATGAAAGCAAACACGTGCCGATCCTTCCGATTAGCATCCGAAGATCATCGGAATAAACTCAGGTTAAAGGTGCAAATTTACCTGTCATTTCGGATGGCTTTCGAACGTACTGCACGGCTGTGTTGGAATTGACATGTATGGTATTGGAGGCCTGAATGAGAGGGCGAACAGTAGAAAATCCTTTAACCGTGGGAGATCCAATTTGGATGATCCCATGGCTGGAGGTGGGTGTCGTAGCCTGTAAGACCTGTACAACGCCGGTACGTCCGGCGAATGTAGCCTTCGGTGGTAAAGTGAGCCTCAGGCTTACGGGTGTCTGCGTCATTTATTAATATTCCTGCAGAAAGCCTGAACGAACCTGGAAAGAGTGGAAGCAAAGGTATAGGAATGTGTGACGCATGTAACATGGCATATACAAAAGAAGACGTTAAGCATAGCAATTACCCATAACGAGGTCCAAACTCATGGGTTGAATTGCCGCGTAAACTCACGATTCAAAAGTGGGATGTAATCCGTCTAATTCAAAAGCATAAAAGTGACGACATGTGACCATTTAAACAAACGTGAACGAAACGTGTATAAACCACCGACGCCATTTAAAATCGCTGTTTATGGTTAGAAAGATTTAACGCACCATAAATTTATTAAACCTAAGCACACACACAACATATTTAAAGTTCAAGTTCGGCCGGGACTGGAACGATAAGAGAATCCCGTGATTGTTCTATTTTGAGTGGATTGTTGAGCCAGGAATTGAGGAAGCCCGCAGAGTTATTGATGGATCTAAAACGGGACACCCGTATTACACCCTGGCCATCCATCCAATGCCCACGTTCACTGCACTAACAGTCCCTGCTGTGGCAGTCACGTGAAGTAATCAAAGGATAGAAAAGAAAAATAGTGGTACAGGATAAGGAGGATCACTTGAACTAAGAAAATAATACCAGTGCATGAAGAAAAGTCGAGAAAAGGAAATCGAGGTTTGAAGATGCGAGTTACTCAGAATAATGGAATGATTTCGTGTTGCCACCCAAGAGCGTCAATCTGCGGCTCAAACCCCTTAACCGTAGCTTCCTTGTTAACAATTTCCGGAAGCATGTTCCAGCGTTTGATGACCGCGTGACAGTCGGATTTCCGCCCTAATCCGATCGGACCGCGGATTGTCCAGTTTCAAGGAATGACCGTGTAGAACAGACGACCTCGCGCGACCGAATATTCTAGATAATCTGGACGAACCTTTCCAGTTACGATACGGTAGATTAGGATTGGGTCTCCTCTAAGTCATCGGCAGCGCATTGAATGCATTCCCAAACTAAGTAGATGCTCCAGGTACGTCTGTCCCTGTAGTCACTCGAGTAACTTAGTACCCACCCGCAAAACCCTCTCGAGCTAGATTATGTCTCCTGACGAGACAGGGCGCACGAGCTGAACGCAGTAGTTCAGGTGAGGCAGGACAAAAGCTGAGAAAATGCTCGTAAATACGCCGCCCTTCAAGACTCCGGAAGGACGTCGTATTTATCACAACATGCGAAAGCCTCTGCTTGCGGCCTTCTTTCAGTTGTCGCCTGAGTGTAAGGCCGAAATGTCTACAACGCCTATGTCAACCCGGCTAGATACGCGGCGGAGTCCGACCCCACAAACCAGGTACTTCGTAGGAGGACAACCTCCTCCAATTCGAAGAACGGAGCATTTTTCCTAGCCTCTGAGTAGTAACCATGTGCATTCGCAATTTAGCCTGTAGTATAATATATCCGTGTGACGGTTCGCACCGGTGTCCACATTCACATAAATAATTTACAAATTTGTCAAATATGGCATACAGTCTTAAACATGATGGTGGGCGCATAACAGTTGATTGGCTTCCGACCGAGGTTTCCAGGTTCTGTGATGGACAAAGCAGCTCGTTCGAAAGGGGTTAGAGTGATTTAATACAACCGTCTACTGGGAACCGCAGTTCAGTAAAGGCTGCGCCTAAATTACTTGTGGCGATGTGAAGCTCATTTTCAGAGCTGCCAGTGGAGGATCGATAATAAGACGAATGGATGCGTGACGTGAAAAACTATCGGAGATGTCTATTCTAACCTTACACAAGTCGAAATGCTACGATAACAATAAGGGGAAGCGACACTGGTCTTCTACCTTAGGTGTATATCCTAAGGAAACAAAGTTACAATATAACCAGTCCAGCTCTTTAACGCTTCCCGTGGGATAAACGGGATGAAATCAAGAAACGGGAAAGGCAAGAAATCGTAGTGGTCAAATGAAAAGCGCATTGATAGACTCACGATGTTTTCCGCATGCTTCAAACTGCTTACCACCACTGTGTGTGTCAACGGTCGTTTCCCAACTTTTGTCACCTTATATTGTCTTTTGATGTATATCGGCTATATTTGGTAGTGTAGGCGGGTTGGGACTACAGCAAGACCTTTGCTGTACACAACCAGGCAAGGGTAGATAACGGACCCTTTGGATGGCTATTTATAGCTGGCATACACAATGATAGCATGCGTTGCGACAACATTCTAGCTGGCTGCTTTACCGGGTCAATTGGAATTCATTGCCCGCAAACTCGTGTCGTGATTGAGTTACAGCAGAAGGCGGACAACGTGTTTGGAGTTCGTCAGACGATGGTAGGGCCTTATTAAGTCTTAACTTATTCCTTAGCATTGACCACATTGCAATCTGATGTCCCAGCTTAAGTTGATATGGAGGGCTGAACAACCCTTTAGTGTTTCTGATAGCACAACACTGTAGAATCTCGAGTGATGCGAGCTCATGTTTGTGCACTGGCTGCCAGCACTCGATTGCGTGATCCACAGAAGAGCGCACACATGGACTGAGCAACTGCTTACAGGCAGAAGGCTCGAAGCGCCTAAATGCCTTCTAAGACACGCTAACGAGTTGGTTCTCAGTCTTTGACGCCTTCTCGGTCTTTTCCTTGCAGCAACGTTAAGCTTAGAGTAATGCACTAAATCCGCTTTAATGGATAATGACAAGCAGGGCCTCATCTCCATGTGTGTGTACCATGTTTGGCTGGTGGCGGATGTGAACTGTAACAAGGTACGCGATCAAGCTGGAGGCAAGCGAACAGGTAAGCGTTCGATAGGCGACGCGTCCATTAACCTCATTGCTTACCTGCACCCATACTTCCTTCCAGCTACCTTTATCCTACTCTCTTCTGTGGTTCATAAGTTGTATTTTAAACCAGCTCTGTAAAATTTGGTTGTTATATACGCATGCATCTGCCTACGAAAGATTTAAGTTCTGTTTAACGCCAAACGTCTCTTAGAAGCTACTTCTCTGCATGGGCACGGAAGCACGCCGAACTCCGAACCTGCCGAACATTGCGTTGACCATCTTACATTGGACGCAGTCCTGGAGTCTGTCTCGTTCAAGTCCACAATGTACTCCTTGTTTGGCCATCGCCTGCCACATCATAACATATTCAACAGAAAGCACAATGTCTGTTAGCGAGCAGGCAACGCTCTGCCAGCAGCCCGAAAAACTGTTTATGACGTCTGCCGAAGTGCTGTGTCCATCCAATGAGAGAAAACTAATTACTAAATAAATATAAAAAATAAATATTTTATTCTCGACAAAGCGAGGCACGCCTTTCGGGCTTGATCAGCCTATTGCAATATTGCGCATGAGATCATGGTTAGCAGCATCAAGAGCGGGAGTAATACAGTTAGAGACAGTAGTGTGGACCCATATGGCCCAAAGATTGTACGAAGTCTATGTTCACAGAATGCGAAACCTAGAGATAAGAATCGGATCACTAATGTTGAGTAGGTTGATGAGGAACTGGTCCGATTAGGTTGTGTACACAGTGCGGGTCAGGTGCGTGAAGCACGAAGAAAAAGCTGAAAAAATATTTAAGAATAGTGGCATGTCACTAATCACATATGTAGAAGTGTTCGAAGGAGGGCAGATTTATGCACAGAATTTGGTCAACTTGCCAATGTGTGATTGGTGCGGTGACTCTTTTGAGTAGAGAGTCACATCCGCCGCATCGCAGTGTTGGTAAACAGACATTTGTGGCTTATTGTAGGGAAAACGGTTGCTAGACGAAGACCCACCACGACCTGGAACACTGCCGACTGATAATATGATATTGCATAATTGCATCTGACCGATTACTCTCGCGGATATTCGCAGTCACCTATCGCCAAATTGTTTCCCATGGTTGTGTAATCTCATTGGGAGTCGACCGCAAGTGGTTGGAGCTGTTGAAGTCGGACGACTCAGGTGACTTGTATTGATTTGATTAGTTTTCTGGGTTCCATTAGTGTGTCAGGGTTGCGAAGTACCTGCGATTTCTTTGTTCTGTATTGATTCCGTGTCCAAGGGTACGTCGCGGGTATGTCCTCGGAAGTGTTCTGTGCAGGTATTGTTATCCTTTGGAACAAGGGAGAGAAGAAACACGGGCCGAGCAAACTGCCAAGGAAATTGAACAAGACTATGTCAATGAATAAGTATAAAATCTATGGTAACGTTGCGCTGGTTGAAAGCAATGGTATTATAGCGCGTAGATCGTGCGCTATATATCCGGTAAGCGACTAGACGGCCAACCAAAGGTAGTGGGTAGAGGACACAAAAGTAAAAAAGGGAAGAAGTTTATTGGACGGGAGGAGCGTTAGCTAGTGCTAAAAATAGGGCACCCGGTGAGAGCTAGCTAGGGAGAATGTCGTTGGCGTCGAGAGCGTAGACGGAGCGTCGTTCGCAGTCGAGCCGCGCGCCAACGACATTCTCCCTAGCTAGCTCTCTCCGGGTGCCCTATTTTTAGCATTAGCTAACGCTCCTCCCGTCCAATAAACTTCTTCCCTAGTTTACTTTTGTGTCTTCTACCCACTACCTTTGGTTTGTCGTCTAGTCGCGTGCCGGACATATAGCGCAGGATCTACGCGCTATAATTGGTGGCCTCGAAAAAACAGTTTCGGTGAGTTTGGTACTAATATTAGTTTGCAGATCCGGTAAATTATTCTGTCTACCCTTCTACTTTTACTTTTTAATACCTGCATACACTTTCACACGCTGCGTAATTTTTCATCATGAAGGTTTTTCACTCACCTGACGATCAGGTTAGTGCGTTCCGTTTTCCTATCCAGCCTTTCCGTCACATTAACACTGAGGCCTGGTTTAACCAGCTAGAATCCATTTTTTCGTAATATGGCGTTAACTCTGACAGCGCCAAATTTCACTGCGTTATCGCTGCGCTTCCCCTGCAAGTCGCCGATGACCTCGATGACATCTTGGAACTTCCGGAACATCAGAAAAGTTACGATGAGCTTAAGGCCGTCGTCTTAAAGCGATTTGGCATAGCAAACCATGCTTGCATCACGCAGCTTCTTAACGAAGCCGAGCTAGGGGACCGATAGCCTTCGCAGTTGCTGCACAAGATGCAAGCTCTAGCTAAGCCTCGCGATGTTGGTGACTCTTTCCTGAAAGAGATGTGGATTCGTTGCGTGCCACGTGACATGCGCAATCCCTTGCATACAAAGAATGTGCCTCTTCCTCAGCTCGCCGATATTGCCAACCGCATTTAAA